TGTCATTTTGATCTTTCTGTTCTCCTTGGGCAGGATTTTGATTTATGATCAATGTCAAATCGATTTCGCAGTTTGAATCGACAGGAGGTCGACATGGGAGTCAAAAAGACATCGATGTCGATGTCAATTTCGATCTCATTTCGAACCCCCTTTTCGACGTCGAATCGACGTCGGGTCGACAAATTGTTTCTCACTGGGTATAACGTTGATGTTGGCGAGTTTGTTGGCTCGGTCTATTACCATGAGCTTTGTCTTGCTCCTGTTAACGGCGAGACAATTCTCGGTCTCAAGTTTCCGCAGCAGCTCTTCCATTTCATCCATGGATGTGGCGAGCAGCACTGTGTCATCTGCGTATCTCAGGTTGGTTATTTTTCTTCCGCCGACAACGAACCTCCTTTCCCAGCCCTCAATTGTTTTTCGGATGATGTATTATCCGTAACTGTTGAAGAGCATAGGAAACAGAATACATCCTTGTCGTACTCCTCTTCTTGTCTTGAAGACATTGGAGCACCGGGAGTCGATCTTCACGTAGGCTCCGTTGTCCAGATATAGATTGCGGATAAGACTGATTAAGTGTTCCGAAACTCCCATTTCTTTTAGGACCTTCCACAACTTCTCACACAGTCAAATGCTTTCGCGTAGTCGACGAAACATAGCACGACCGGATATATACATATATAAATATATATATATATATATACCTATATATTTATATATGTATATATCCGGTCGTGCTATGTTTCGTCGACTACGCAAAAGCATTTGACTGTGTGAGTTGGGAGAAGTTGTGGAAGGTCCTAAAAGAAATGGGAGTTTCGGAACACTTAATCAGTATATATATATATATATTGTGACGTTGCAGTCCGCTGCAGCGGAGCAGCGTCCCGCCGCCGTCACAAAGCGCGGGTTCGCGCCCTTTTTGCCGGGCCAACGGCCGCGTCATTTAGAGCGAGACCGAGATCTCCGGGAGGCCCGAAGTTAAACCGCGTGCTTTTATTAATTTTGTTGAAACTCTTATATGTACCGCGGCACCTCACCGGACAAACGGAGCGTCGGCGGAAAGGATTCAAGGCCACCGACAGCGGAAG